TCCATTTAGTTTTAGAGAACAAATTGAAAGCTGTTAGTTTTATGCATGCATTTATACAAATTTCTTTCTTTGAGATACAAATTGAGATTTTTGATCGATTCAAATGATCTTTCGGAGTGTAATTTGCGATTAACTCTTTTTATAAACATCTTAAATCCCTTGTTTCCTGAGCCATCAATATAAGTGGTATAGACTCAAAATTTAATGATTGGTTGAATTCCATCTTTGCAGTTAGCAGCTTGGTACAGTGCAATACTGCTTTTATTGTGCAAATAATTTAATTTCAAATTGTTATTTCTTAAATTTTCTATTTTCAATACCTAAAAGTTGTATAATGTGGAAATGAGACTCGTATTATCTACCTGATGATGTTTAGCGATGCTTGCATTTCATATTTAGGGCAATGTAAAGTTTAGTTTATATTGTTTGATGTTTGACCTTTGTTAGAAACAATTGCAAGTCAGTGAAAGTCCTTTAAAAACCGAGCATTCCTGCCCAGGGGCGGAGCCAGGAATTTTGCTCAGGGTGGGCACTTTAATTATGCACTCTAATTTTTTTTCTTTTAACCGATCACACTATATAACATATTTATATTTATTATATTATTTTTGATATATGAAGTCCATTTCACATAAAAAATTTTAAAAAAAAAATGCATATTGCCAGGGGCGGAGCCATGAATATCTATGATAGAGGCAAAATATAACTAGTATAAAAAAATATTAAGCCGAAATTAATACAAAAAAATTTAGTTCAAGAATAAAAAAAAAAGTAAGAATCAACACTAAATTATTGTGAAATAGTAAATTCAATTTTTATTTAGTCGAAACAAAATTTTAATAAAAAGATACAAAATAATTTTTTTAGTACATTTTAACCTAATTATATATTTCAATAAAATATAAAAATTTTTAAAGTCTCTAAATTTTTTTGTATATGAATTAAATGTAAATTAATTTTCATATTTTATTAGGTTATAGACTACTATTACTAAAAAAAAATGGTAAATGAAAACTAAAAATCATTCTTAAAAAGTATCGAACATTGTGTTAGATAAATAAAAATATTGTATTTTTGTCAATATACAAATAAAACATTGACTCAATCCAAAACTAACATATTTATTTTAGAGGGTTAGTGGTCCACTAATTTATTAAAAAAAAAAATCTAGAACCATTATTAAAATTTCTAAAAAATTTAGGGGGTAAATATAATGTATAAAATAATTTTATAGGTTGGTGCAAGGAAGAACAAAAAAATTTAAGGAACTGAACTTTTCGTGTGTTGAGCTTTTCTCTGTTTCTTTTCTTTTTCTTGTGGTTGGGCAGTGGACAGCTGGAAGTGAGTGATACAGAGACAGAAAAAAAAAAAAAGGAATGATAAGATAAGTTTTAGTCAAGTGGGCCAAAAGTTTTGTTTTTTAATGATGGTGGACCAAAAGATTTGTTTTTAATGTTGGGCCAAAAATTTTGTTTTTAATATTGGGCTAAAAGTTTTGTTTTTTAATAGGTTTGAGTAGATTGTGATAGGTCAAATATTTGATTTTTTAATAAGTTTGAATAGATAATAGTGAGTTCAATTTTTTTTATTTTAAATGGACTTAATTGTTTAATTATTTTGAGTAAATAATGTGGGCCTAATTTAAATGAGGGGGCACACATAATATATATGTATAAATATATAATACATATATCTAACTAATTAAAAAAAAAAAATTGAGGGGGGGGCACATGCCCACCCTGGCCCCTACCTCCCTCCGCCCATGTCCCTGCCCCAACCAAGGAGCCTAAATTGTAGCAAGGATTGCACAATTCCAGTGTTACTCATTTACGAGCGCATCCAAACCCTTGAAAATCCTCCACAAACAAGTAGATTAAGACCATGGAGTTACCCAACTCAATCATGTCAATGAAAACGATTTGTTCCACAAAGATAAAGCAATAGGACAAATACAAAAATAAACTTTTGGTGAATTTATCCATTGTTGAATCTGCATATATTGGTATTTTGGTATGTGTCAATATATGGGCTTAAATATTGGATAATGTTGTGACATATACTACCTCTACCTATATGTGATTGTGTAGTTTTTCTTAATAATCCATAGGATAATACCTGAGATTAAATGTTTTTTATGGTTTTAAAATAGTTATCGTGCACATTACTTGAACATATTTACCAATGTAACATCATAATCATCTTGTGAATAGTTAACAAGTTTTGTAAATGTATATTTTCTTTTTGTCCTGCAGAAAATTAAGATAATAAATTTGTACATTCAGATGAGGTTGTTATGCATTCGTAATTACACATGAAACTGAAAAGATGTACAGGTCTATTAATGGAGGGTGTAAACATTGGCTTCAGTATTTATATGAACATATATCCAACATAACACTCTAATACACTTCTAATTTTCTGCTGTCTATGTTAGAAGAATGTATGATTTGCGACATATAAATTTTATAATTGGGAATAAAGTGCAACTCATGACCGAGGTAATTACTGCTACAAAATGTCTATAATACGTATGCCCTGTTTTTAATCCAATTTTCGTTGTAGTGCCATCTATTTCAGTACAACTTAGACCAACTAACATCCAACTTTCATATGAACTGATCTGGTCATAAGAAGGTATCTATTACTCCATGAAAATTGTTACAAACCTTATCATGAAAAACATTAAATACGATCAAAATGAATACCCTTATACAAAGAGAGCAAGGACAATAATCAGTTATCTAGAAGCTCATAATCTGTCCTCAGGAAATGGATCTTCATTGTTGTAAGGTCATACGCGACATTGTAATGCTGTTGCGCCATCATTCCAATGATATTGTCATCCTTGGTTAATTCCACTGCCATGCAAAATATTTCATTGCCCAGTTGTTGAAACATGCTCCCTATGTCCAACACTACCTCCACTCCACCAGCTAGATGAAGTTTCACCATATGGAACCCTTGTAGGTCGGGGTTCACTTTTCCTTCGTAGCACAAATAGTCTTTGTAATAAAATTTCTCTAATTTTCCGTTTATATAATTTTCTACTTCTACTTTAAGAGCTTCAAAAGCACCTCTTTTGAGCTGCATATATGTTGTACCCGAGTCGATAACTACTCCACCTCTGTCGGATGTTCTTTTGAAAATGTTTTTATCCATGGCAAGTACTTTGTCTCCTACACTTATGGTTTCCAGGGTTACATAATAGTTGCTACCATATATTTCCATTGGTGTTGAATCACCTTCAATTTGTGTCCCGTCCCCCAAGATCAATTTGTTATAGATGTAATTGGGATCTGTTATATCCCCAGTGCAATAAGAAATTTTTTTAGAAATGTTGGAAACCAAGGATACCTTACTGAAACCAAGTTTGAGAATCCCATCTAGTTGTAAGCCTCCTATAAATTTATGGCCGCAACCAATAACAACACTCGAGATACTTGTCAGTCCATCGTCAGATGTCCCAAATGAGAGCTTCTCGGTGGCAAGGTCTCCTGCATTTGACGTCTCAACGAGATACCTGATAGTGTACTCACATTGTTTTCTAAGGTCACATTTGCCTTCTATACTAAGATCACAATAACTTGAATCGCAAGATAAAGGGTTGTAGGTTGTTGATTTTAAGGGATCGAAAAGGGAGGTTGTTGCACTTGATGGGTGACATCCACTGCAAGGTTTGTAGTTAACCCAGGTTAGAGGGCTACCAGTGTCCATTGCTAGGAGTTGTGAAACTGGGGGTTCACCTATTGACAGACTAACCAAAAAAAGATTGTGGGGGGTCATTTGGAATTACGCTTCCTCTAATATCATCTTAGGGAAAGAAGGCATAATGGCTTTCCAATGGATTAGTTTTGTGGTGATGGTTGTGGTTGTGGAGGCTAGAGTGATGAAGGACAAGAGAATGACAAATGGATAATATGAAAAAAGAATTCATGGTGGACTGGTTTCAGCACTATCCAATGTGTATAAAGGTGTTCTATATACTTTCTATCACTTTTTTGTTCCTAAAAATAGGATTTCTTGCTCACCAAATGCTCAAGTGCTTCCTTCCTTGTTGCAATACTATGCTTATATAGGTTTGTTCAAATTGGATTAGAGGAATGGCAGGACTAAATAAAAGATTAGAACAGTTTTAGTTTCAACATGCATAGTGGCTGCTTGTTTGATTAGAAGAATTTTAGAAAGCACACTCTTTTCATTTATGAAAAAATATAGTATGCATGGGTCTTCTAATTGCCAACAACAACTGTAGTTAACCAACAACAAAATGAAAGGTTTTCCAGTTAACAATCAAGTTCTCTAGCTCCATATCAAATGCTGATCATTTGATACATGGAGCAAGGTATGAAGATTTGTCATAATAAAGTTGGCATTATTTTAGGTGAACCATTTTGAATCAGATGATGAACATACCTATATGGGTGATTATTCTAGTCAAGCTTATTTGAGAAAACAAATGTTTAACATTGGTGAATTTATATACTGCTGAATCTGTATATATTGTGGTGTGCTTAAATATTTGGATAATGTTGTGGCCCTCGACCTATTTGTGATTGTGTAAACTGTGGCACAATAATCCATAAGATAACAAATGAGTTTTCCAATTTGAATGCAACATAATTATTTTGTGAATAGTTAATGAGTTCTGGAGACATATTTTTACTTACATTGGATCTGAAAAGATGTAGCAGCCTATTAGTGCAAGATGTAACCTTCAGTTTTTTATGCCTATATATCCAAGTATTCATATGCTTATCTGTGTGTACTTTTAACAGAATATGTAACAAAGTCATCCAGTGGTTGTTTTCTATCATGTGTTCATTGCACTAAGCCAGCAACCTAACTATTATCATTCAAGGAGCCTAAGTTTTTACAATGAGGAGGCTTAATATCACTGTAGCAGGGCAATTAATATCATAAACTGAAACATGTTTCCAATTTTTCAGTTTCGACAAAACTCTGTAGGCAACTTACTAGCAAAAGAAACCCATGTTTAATGCTCAGTTATTCGGTGGTAGGACTGTTGGAGGCTCAGCTACTACTCGGTGGTGGTAGTAGGAGAGAATTTTTGAAAGAACAGTGTTCAAGGCCGTTTCATTGTTCTTGAATTGTGGAAGCCCCTTCAAGGCTTCAACAAGATAATGTGGTATTTTGCCTGATGCCTTAATACCACAGCCAATGCCACGAATCTTTCCTCTGCACAGTATAGAGTCCATCTTTGCAAGTGTACGCCCGATTTCATCCTTTGGTGGTGGAGGCAGTGGACCAAAGCAGCGCCTCAGGCAGCGAACCATGAATGGCTCACGGTCTCCGTCGTCCTCTTGTTTTCGGGTTTTGCCTTCTTTCCCGGATGCCGTTGTTGTTGTTGAGTTTGACATTGAGAGAGTAGGAGTATTGTGATGACCAATGTAGGTAACCAACTACAAAAATGAAAGGTTTTCAGTTAACAATTATCATTCAAGGAGCCTATCTATGTTTTTACTGGCAACATGTTTCCAAATTTTCGGTTTCGACGAAACTTTGAAGGCAACTTACTAGCAAAAGAAGTGTATAAGATATAATGAAAAGATGTGGTCGAATACAATAATATCCAAAGAAAAATAAAAAAAAAATAACTGCACATCAATCCAAGGCAATGCATAAATAACAATAGGCAATTAATCCAATATATATAGAGAGAGAGATTGGTATTACACGAGGCTAATTGCACCCATGTATAACAAAACCAGGTTTAACGCTCAGCTACTTGGTGGTAGGACTGTAGGAGGGTCAGCTACTACTCGGTGGTGGTAGGGGGAGGGGGGAATTTCTGAAAGAAAAGTGTTCAAGGTGGTTTCATTATTCTTGAATTGTGGAAGCTTCTTCAATAAGATAATGTGGTATTTTGCCTGATGCCCTAATATCATAACCAATGTCATGAATCGTTTCTCTGCACAGTACATGGTCCATACTTGCAAGTGTACGCCCAATTTCATCCTTTGGTGGTGGAGGCAATGGACCGAAGAGGTGCCTCAGGCAGCGAACTAGATCACGGTCGTCGTTGTCTTCCTCTTGTTTTCGGTTTTTACCTTCTTTCCCCGAAGACACTGTTGTTGAGTTTGACATTGAGAGTAGAAGTATGGCTGTGATGACCATGAAAATAACTAGAAACAAGAGTGTTCTTGTTCGACTAGGGACGGCCTCCACAGCTGAAAGATACAAATACAACAAACTCAGCAATAGAATTTGATGATTATGAGAAGCAAGAAAGGTTATATAGTGATAAAGGAGGTTTTAAAAAAAAATCCAAATAATTGTTGGTTTCGAAATAATTCTCAAATTCATGTTATTTTAAAAACATCACTCCGTTTGACATTTTTAAGCCTTTTTTTTTTCAGCACAGTCCTTGTTTTAAAGACGTCAGTTAACTGGCGCGGTTAACTTCTTTATTTTATTGCCTGCAAAGCTATTTCATTCGCTGGCTGCCAAAAAGTCAGTCAATCCACCAACATGTAATATTTAACGAGTAATGTTAGAGTGATTATATTTTGGGATCAAATTTAGAGCTCAAATGACATGGCAGTTGATTTGGACTTCTTTGATTGGTGTCATATCATTTGAGCCCCAATAAAAATTTCAAATAATCAACTGTTATGTTATTTGAGCTTAAAATTTGATCAGTCTAGCATTAGTCATATTTAACACGTCAAAAAGGAAGTCAATTCCTTCTTTGCCAAAAAATCAAGCAACATGTAATATTTAATACATTACTCCACCAACTTTATTGAAAATTAAAAATGGGCTATTTCTTTTTTTTATCCTTCTTTGCAAAAAGTCACGTGATTTGCTTATAACTCCATTTGATTTTGATAATTATCATAAGTGACTCCTAAATTTTTTCTCAGGTTTTAATGTAATCCGTAAAATTTTAATTCTTTTAATTTAATCCATCAATTATAAATTTTTTTTAAATTAAATCTTTCCATTAATTTTAATCGTCAGATGAAGTGAAGATTAGCCCAATTTTATTTTTTTTTTGAAATTGATAATTAAGAGACTAAAATAAAACAAATTTAATTTTAATCGGTAGATGAAGTGTTGTAATATTTATATTTTCGTCGTCGTACTTGTGTTTGCAATATGTTTATGTATTATGTTTTTATATTTGGTTTCTAGGAAATATGGTGTACTACTCCAGTTTGTAATGTCCATCTAAATTTCAATAATTTATGTTACATTATTATTCAACAAACATGTCTTTAGAGAGTATTTAAAAAATGATCTAAAAGGCAGTAAAGACATAACATGATATGAAACTATGAACACAAACAAATTTTATATACAAAAATAATATTTACAAATTCAATACAAACAAATTTTTAAAAAAAAAGACTATGTCCCACAAGGTGGTGGTCTCCTCTGCCGCTTGGGCTGCTGACCATCAGGCAGAGGTCATAAGTCCCGCCCACGTAAGCAATAATCAGGTAGAGTAGCCAACACATCAACGGTGAATGACTACCATATGATCTGCAATAAAAAAAAAAAAAAACAATTTTGTTAGATGTACCCAAAAAATACAAATTTCGGCAAAATTTCCCTTTATGTATGACACCAATTTTTTTTCCAAAATCACCTGTTGCATAATATATTGCATAATATATCCAACTACCAATCATACCAACAAAAACCACCAACAATTACCAATCATACAACACATCCAACAACAACCAACAACATCTAGTAGTTTAAAAAACAATATAGAGTTCCGCTTGTATACCTGGTCAGCGTGCATCTGATCCAGAGTTTCGGAAGAATATGACTATTTTTTGAAAGGGAAAAACACTAGGAATTGTTTTAAGTTATTAATATTTCTAAAGTATTTCATTTTTAATTTAATTAAACTGTTCCAGTTTTTATTTTCATTATAAAAATCATCATTGTTATAGACCATGCATTATGAATTGATAAGATTGTTTACCAATTATTTCTCTTAGGTTATATTAGAGACACGAGTTTTATGTATCAGGTAGAACACTATTATCTTTTATTTCTATTAACAAAAATAAAAAATAAAAAATTTCACCATATTTCATAATTTGTCGTATTAATTTCATCGATAATCAACATCAATCTAATTAGCTCGCCAATGTGCAATCAAGCCAGTAATAGTGAAAGGTATTAGACTAAATGATTGGGTTCATTACCCTTGTTATTATGGTCTAAGATCTTTATTCTGTGTCCCAACCTAGGATTCACTCAATCATAGTTGTACCCTCGGATGTTAAGACTATTCATTTGTTTTCTTACCCTTGTGATTTTTGTATATGATTTGCTATATATAAACTAGAACAAAACATACTTCGACTAGGCAATTGCATTGCCAATCTAAACATCATCCTGGTTGTTAGAAGGAGAAAAAGTGAAATAAATTAAATATGTACCTCATATAAATTAAATATGTATAAATAAATCGACAACAAGAAAAATGTACAGACACATGTTGGGAAATATGTACCTCACAAATATAGCCTCATCAGGCTCAATACCACTCCACTGCATTAACCTAAACAATTGTAATCCTTCCTTAAAACAATTATTTTCCACATACCCAGAAATCATAGAACCCCAAACTCCTCCATCCTTCACCGGACAGAAATTAAAACTGTCCATGACACAACACAGCGGCTAGGAATTTCATCAAACACAGACCTTGCAGCTTCCATGTTATCAAAAACAAAATACATTACAATCAAAGTATTACCCACAAATATATCAAACAAGAAACCCAGTCTTAAACAATGCCCATGAATTAATTTTCCAACTTCACAATTACGAAAGGATGTGATGGAAGATTGTGCCAAGGGTTTTCCTCAGGCTCGGATTTTGCAGGTGATTAAATGATTGACATTTTAGTCCTGCGCTAAATTTTTTTGTTTTTGATTGATAAAACTCCAATTAGAAAGATTTATCACAAATAGAACTGAATTTGGTATTGAGGGTCCCATTCTAATTTCCAATTGTTAGTGAAATGGTCTGGAGTTCATCTACATTCGATTTGAAAAGATCCATTAGATTCTTATGACTCACAATTCCTGTGTGGTGGTCGCTTGTGGAATCATACCAATCTTAAGCTATAGACAATTGTAGAACCTTACCTCTGTTGGACGAGCAGGTGGTGGTCGCTTGGTGCTGGTGGTCCTCGCTGGTGGTCGCTGGGTGGTGGTGGTCCTCGATGGTGGTGCTTGGATTTGGGCCTTCGATCGTTGGGTGGTGATTGGGTGGTCGTGGGTGGGGCGTGGGTGGGCGTGGGTAGTGCTGCAATGGTGGTGGTGGTTCTGCAACGGTGGTTCTTCAAGGAGAGCAGTCGATTTTGGGGGAAGAAGCCGATTAAGCGCGGATAGCAGCTCGGACTAGATAATTTGGGCGAAAAAGGAGGAAAGAAGAGGGAGTCAGGTATTTGAATTTAAAAATGTCAAATGGATTGAAGCGTTTAAATTAACACGTTAATTTATTAGACGTTTTTAAGTTGAACGTGGATCACAATTTTTGTGTTAAAAATGTCAATTAGATTGATCTTTTTAAGTTAAAGATGTCCGTCTATTTAACATTTTTAAAACAACATAAATTTAAAAATTATTTTAAAATCAACCATTATTTGAGAAATTATTTTTAAACTACCGTGAGATGGATCAAAACCTCAGTGATAAAGAGTAGTAACAAACAGTTGGATGTAAAATAGAATCTGATAAATCAGATCTACCATTCTGATTGGGATTCTCCTGTTATTCAAGTCGACGGATTAATAGAATTTGATAATGACCTTAAGACAAAATTTTCATAAGATAAAGAGTATCATTGAATCAAAGGTCTATTAGTCATAACTGGAATATCATGTTTCTCATATTGCACCTTTAACTATATAATAATTAGCTCTTCAGTATATACCCCAATGATTAACGTTTGTTGCGAATTGGACAAAAAAGTTAATTTATCCTATTTTCCAAAATGTGTGTTTTACTCTCTTGTACATATCCTTGGTGGGTTACATTGCATGGTATTATTAACGTGGCCGTGGTGTAACCGTTATACCGAGCATGAAACCGACTGTATTTAAATAAGCCAAATTCATTAGTTAATCATCACTTACAACACAAAATTTCATTAACAAACCTAGCAACTCCAACTTCCCCCACTACTTCAAAAATTAGACTCAAATTCATTAAAAAATCTGGAATGAGTCTAACCTTGTTTAATTCTTCATTGAGGGAAATCCTGTTCGACAAAATATCCAAAATTTTGCCTTTCATGCTCTATTCGGAATCAGATGGCCATCTTATCTACTTCTCATGATTATTTTCATAGAGCCTTGATAAAATCATTCAGTGTGCTGCTTCACGCACCCTTGATGAAAATGCAATCATGGTTCAATGTCGTGGTATCGATTATTGACTCGGAGGTCACAGAGATGCATTGGCCGATACACTCAAAATTTTAAAAAAAATATAAGTGTCAACATCCATGCATCATATCCTAGAAATACATTATTTAACACATTAAACATAATGAAACGAAATTGTGAGGATGTTATTGGTAATGTTATTATAACAATTTCGAACATACTAGTACTTAATTTTGAAATTTTTTATAATAAAAACAACAACAATAAAGATATATCAATAAATTATAAATTTGATAAATACATTAGATCAGAACACTAATCAATATACATATTATATCCGAACACCAACCTTCAACCTTCATCCTTTAGAGACCAAGATTGGGCATATTATTCAACAACAACCTTTAACCTTCAAACTGTTTGGTTTGGTTTCCTAAAACAGTTTTTGATTTTAGATACAAAAATTTGGTAAAACCCTGTTTGGACAGAGGAGTTTTTAATTTTTTTTAACAAAAAAGAAGGCTGAAGACAGATTTTAAATAACAGTTAAAAAGTGTTTTTGGTGTTTTGACGAAAAAAAATAAAAAAGAGACCAGGGAAAACACGGAGAATGCCCAAAATTTTTTTACTGATCACTTAAGAGGGACTATAAAAGGCAAGGCGATCTTTTCTCTCTCTCCAATTTTTTCAGTTCAGCTTGACTCTCAACTGGACGAAACAAGCAACCCTCACTCCACCGTTTGTACTTCAACTCAAAAAATGAAAGATCTCTCCAGCGAAGAAAAAGGTTTCATCGTCTTTGGATATCATCTACTTAGAATCTGTTTGATTTTTTTTTTACAGCTTCTTTAGTTTCATCGTCTTTGGATCTGTTTTTTTTCCGGAAGATGCATGGATCTGTCTGCTAAAGTAATGTAAGGTCCAAATATTAATCACGAGAGGGATTGGAAGAGGGATCTATAATTGTAACCAAGTGAGAAATGGAGAAATTGGATTAAATTTAAAAACGAAAAAAAAAGAGGAGGAAAAATTCAAGAACGAAAAGATAAAACGATGATAGAGAAAGAAAATATTGATCAATGTTGCATCCATGATTTCAGGGAAAGACTATAGTACCAAATTATAACTTTTATTTAAATTATAATTTTTTTAAAAATATAAATTACAATGTTTAAAGGACATGATCGATCATAAGAGGTCAAAATTGATATCGAAATCACAATTTTCTAGTATTAGGTTATAAAGGAGCAGTTACAATTGTTGAGAGAAACCAACGATCAATCATGGGTGTCAACGATTGATCATATATCTCTATTAAACAATTATAATTTCTCTTTTTTAAGAGTATAATTTTACCATTAAAGTTATAGAGCAATTTTCACTTTATCTCTCTATGGTAAACCTCAAATACATTTTAACTCCCTTCATTTTAAAAACCTCCACATACCCCCACGCACGATTAATAGACTAAACTGGAATGCCACATTTTTCGTCCAATTTAACAGTAGGTGTGTCCCAGCAGAGGATCTCTTTCTAAAATTTTGAAGATGAAAATACCCTTGCCTTCATTTTTTAACCTAACTCCTCCGGTCAAATCTCTCGTGTTCTCTCTCACACACGCCGGAATTACCCGACTGTGTGTTCAATACACAAAATTGCAGCCCTTAGGTGTGAGAAAAACATACAAAATGCTTGTACTCACTCAAAGGCAACAAACTATGTGATGGGACGCTTCTGAAAATCAATAGGAAGATGACATGTGTCCTCGGCACCGAAAATACTTCTAGTGATCAGATGACGCCACGTGTCCTTGACAATGACATGTGTCCTCGACATTGACTTCTCTAGCCTATTTGTGTTTGACACGTGTCCTCGACTTGTGGTCCCTCCTAGCACTTAGATTTTGACACGTGTCCTTGGCGTGACTAGATCCCAAGGCCATTTTCAGACACGTCATCTCGGTTTCAAGACAGATAATTGACGGTTGCAGCCAGTTAAGGTTAGAATTTGACAATAATCATTAACTTGATTTCACAAAGAAGTCAAATGGCAGAAATGACAATACAACAACCAAAGAGAATTGGACACGTGGCACAAAGTACAGAATTGGGGGCCAATGGATAAGAATGCCCCTGCATGTGCGTAGCCATCACAGAACAACATTTAATGATCCCTTCGTAGTAGCACAAATAGTCTTTGTAATAAAATTTCTCTAATTTTCCGTTTATATAATTTTCTACTTCTACTTTAAGAGCTTCAAAAGCACCTCCTTTGAGCTACATATATGTTGTACCCGAGTCGATAACTACTCCACCTCTGTTGGATGTTCTTTTGAAAACGCTTTAATCCATGGCAAGTACTTTGTAATTGGGATCTATTATATCCCCAGTGCAATAAGAAATTTTTTTAGCAATGTTGGAAACCAAGGATACCTTACTGAAACCAAGTTCGAGAATCCCATCTAGTTGTAAGCCTCCTATAAATTTATGGCCGCAACCAATAACAACACTCGAGATACTTGTCAGTCCATCGTCAGATGTCCCAAATGAGAGCTTCTCAGTGGTATGGTCTCCTGCATTTGACATCTCATCGAGATACCTGATAGTGTACTCACATTGTTTTCTAAGGTCGTATTTGCCTTCTATACTAAGATCACATTAATTTGAATAGCAAGATATAGGGTTGTAGGTTGTTGATTTTAAGGGATCGAAAAGGGAGGTTGTTGCACTTGATGGGTGACATCCACTGCAAGGTTTGCAATTAACCCAGAGGGCTACCAGTGTCCATTGGTAGGAGTTGTGAAACTGGGGGTTCACCTATTGACAGACTAACCAAAAAAGATTGTGGGGGTCATTTGGAATTACGCTCCCTCTAATATTATCTTCGGGGAAAGAAGGCATAATGGTTTTCCAATGGATAAGTTTTGTGGTGATGGTTGTGGTTGTTGAGGCTAGAGTGATGAAGGACAAAAGAATGACCAATGGATATATGGACAAAGAATTCACGGTGGACTGGTTTTAGCACTATCTAATGTGTATAAAGGTGTTCTATATACTTTCTATCACTTTTCTGTTCCTAGAAATAGGATTCCTTCCTCACCAAATGCTCATGTGCTTCCTTCCTGGTTGCAATACCATGCTTATATGGATGTTTCAAACAGGATTAGATGAATGGTAGGACTAAATAACAGAATTAGAAGAGTTTTAGTTTCAACATGCATAGTGGTTGCTTGTTTGATTAGAAGAATTTTAGTTTTAAACAGGATTAGATGAATGGTAGGACTAAATAATAGAATTAGGAGAGTTTTAGTTTCAACATGCATAGTGGCTGCTTGTTTGATTAGAAGAATTTTAGATAGCACACTCAAAAAATCTCCTTTACTCATGGTATGCATGGCCCTTCTAATTGCCAACAACAAATGTAGTTAACCAACAACAAAATGAAAGGTTTTCCAGTTAACAATCAAGTTCTCTAGCTCTATATCAAATGTTGATCATTTGATACATGGAGCAAGGTATGAAGATTTGTCATAATAAAGTTGGCATTATTTTTAGGTGAACCATTTTGAATCAGATGATGAACATACCTATATGTGTGATTATTCTAGTCAAGCATATTTGAGAAAAGAAATGTTTAACATTGATGAATTTATATACTGCTGAATCTGTATATATTGTGGTGTGCTTAAATATTTGGATAATGTTGTGGCATATACAACCTTGACCTATATGTGATTGTGTAAACTGTGGCACAATAATCCATAGGATAACAAACGAGTTTCCAATTTGAACACATTTACGAATGCAACATAATTATTTTGTGAATAGTCAAGGAGCCTAAGGAGGCTTGATATCACTGTAGAATTACAGCAGGACAATTAATATCATAAACTGGCAACATGTTTTCAATTTTCGACGAAACTCTATAGGCAACTTACTAGCAAAAGAAATCTACAAGATATAATGAAAAGATGTGGTCGAATACAATCATAACCAAAGAAAAATAGAAATAAAAATAGCGACGCATCAATCCAAGGCAGTGCATAAATAACAATAGGCAATTAATCCAATATATATATATATATAGAGAGAGAGATAAAGCTAATTGCACCAATGTATAACAAACTCATGTTTAACGCTCAGCTACTCAATGGTCTGATAATAGGAGGCTCAGCTATTCGGTGGTGGTAGTAGGAGGAGAGAATTTTAGAAAGAACAGTGTTCAAAGCAGTTTCATTGTTCTTGAATTGTGGAAGCTTCTTCAAGGCTTCAATAAGATAATGTGGTATTTTGCCTGATGCCCCAATACCAAAACCAATGCCACGAATCGTTTCTCTGCACAGTATAGGGTCCATTATTGCAAGTGTACGCCTGATTTCATCCTTTGGTGGTGGAGGCAATGGACCGAAGTGGCGCCTCAGGCAGCGAACTATGAATGATTCACGGTTTTTGTCTTCCTCTTGTTTTCGGGTTTTGCCTTCTTTCCCAGAAGACGTTGTTGTTGTTTTTGAGTTTGAAATTGAGAGTAAAAGTATGGTTGTGATGATCATGAAAGTAACTAGAAACAAAAGTATTCTTGTTCGACTAGGGACAACCTCCATAGCTGAAAAGATACAAATACAACAATCTCAGCAATGGAATATGATGGTTATAAGTATCAAGAAAGATTATATAACGTGATAAAGAGTAGCAACAAACAGTTGTATATAAAATAGGATTCGATAAATCAGACTTATCATTCTGATTGGGATTCTCCTGGTATTCAATTTGATCGAATAATAGAATTTGATAATGACTAAGTAACTCAAACCTAAAATAGTTTTATTTTTGGGCAAATTAAACTTTGACTCCCACTCCTTTTTCACATTGTTCATTCCCACAACTATCATGTTTCTCATATTGTACCTTTAATTATATAATAATTAGTTTTATTTTGCCCCAATGATTAATGTTAGTTACGAATTGGACAAAAAAGTTATTTCATCTTATTTCCTGAACTATGTGTTTTACCCATTTGTTTACATATTGAAGGGGTTAGCCCTCATGATGGCACGTGTTACAATATTAAATAAGCTCACGTGAGCTTGACAAGATCAATCATGTGACAAGGATATTCACCTAGTCTTGAGGACCGAGCCGAACTGATCAGTTCATTTTAAAAACAAAGAACGAGTTAGGTTCTCTTGATGACCAAACTCATCAGTTTGTCCAGCTAAGCAAGGAAAGAGCTCGGCTTGTACCAAGTCGAGTCCATTAAAGTGTTCAGCAAGGCAATTGAAGAGATCAGTTTGTACCAAACTAAGCCCCTTAATCTGTTCGGCAAATGTCATGTGTGCTCGGAGAAAGATATGACCGAGCTGTTTCAAATGATAAACAGATAGATAAAGATTCGACTATAATTTAGGCAATCAGATAAACAAATTATAGAAATTGAAGATATCAGGAGAAAATAATGAAAAAATATCAGCAACTTCCTAAATTGAATAACTGAATCTAAGGAAGGTGTACCACCTTGAATCAAGAATCACAGAAATCCTAAGGGGATGACCACCTATAAAAAGCAAAAGGAGCCAAGAAGAAAGGTATGCTGAACTCTCTTGGTCTTAGTGTAATTCTTTTTGTTCCATTACTGACTTAAGCATCGAAGTGCCTTCGATCGAAGCACTTCGATCTTGGGCAGTTTGTTCGTTTTGCAGGCAAGAGATTAGAAGATCGTTCAAACTTCTCTCCCGGAAATCATATCACAAATTCACGTGTAGAGGTATCACCAATTTTTTGCTTCTACATTTTGGCGCCGTCTGTGGGAAAGATCTTCATCTTTCAAAACAAAAAGCTACGATGTCAAGGCTCAGAAGCGCAATTGGATCACCCGTAGACAGTTTTACCCTAGGGAACTCTGATCCTGCGTCTCTTCCTTCTAACAACGACGAAAGGTTGCATGCAGCCAGAAGCCCCTCCAGGACCCATGAAGGTGACGAGGTATCCTCTGCAAGTTTCAAGCCCTCGAAAAACTAGAACCAGCAAAGCAAGGATCATAGTAAATCCCTCTGTGCCAAGGGGGAGAACCACTCCTTGGCAAAGTTGGTCTAGTTCTTATAGGATCGACTTGATGCTTATGACAAGCTGTTCAAGAAGCCCTACGCTAGGGGAGAAAGATCTGATGAAAGAAAACGAAGAGTAAAAAGCCAAGTTGAAAGAGGTGACCAGAAGAGAAAAACGGGCGAGAGAAGATCGGCATGAAAGTTAGGGAAGGAAGCCTAACAGGATTAAAACTACCGATGAGAAAGGTTACCATCAGTAGAAGCCTCGGATCTAAGAGGAGGACACCTGGAAGCAGTATATCAACGAAGAGCTCAACATTTGCTTGAAGAGATTAGAGTAGAGGTCGGCAAGGGACCTAGCCAGAAGAGCAACAAGAGAGTACGAAGATGGTTTGGAATCATCCACATTCACTGTCTGGGTCAAAAAGGAATGAATCCCGAGTAAGTTTGTCATTCCGAACTTCAAGTTGTACGACAAAAAGACTGACTCAACCTCACATATCAGGCACTTCCGACAACTGATGACCATCCGCCAAAGAAACGAGCCACTACTCTACACTATCTTCCCTAGCAGTCTGGGGGAGTCTGCCATGAAATTGTTTGACAGCTTACCAAAAAGAATGATTAACGGGTGGTCTCAGTTAGCCAAGTAGTTCACAGCTCGATTCATCACGAGCAGTAAACAGCCAAAGGATGTTGGGGCTCTACTGACGCTGAAAAAGAAGGGTAACGAAAGCTTGCGAGAGTATGCACATCGCTATTGTGGCAGACTTTGTAGCGGAATTTCAGTCCAAGGATAGCTCAGAGAAGAACGAAGAAATTAATTGCAACCGAGAACCAAGCTGTTGTGGCAGCTGGATACTTTCTGTTGATGGTTCTTCGAATTATAAAAGTGCTGGTATAGGAATCACCCATGTGAGTCTGGACGGGTGTACCTTAGAGAAAGTTATCAAGCTCGGCTTCAAGGCTTCAAACAATGTGGCAGAGTACGAAGCTTTGATTGCTGGAGTAAGGATGACAGCAGAGCTCAGAGTATTAAAGCTCCAGATATTCTCTGATTCGCAGCTAGTGGTGAATCAGATAATAGGGGAGTTTGCGGCAAAAGATGAAAGAATGATAGTATATCAGGCTGTGGCCGAGAAAGAACTGAGCAAAATACCAGAGTATTCAATACAGCAGGTCGGGAGAGCAAAGAATTCACATGCCGATGCTTTAGCTTCACCGACCTCGCCAATCGAGCAGGACGCGACAAGATCACTAACTATTGAGTACCAACCCGAGCCCAGTATTCTACCGACCTGGTCTGAAGTCTTATACAACGAATTTGAGCTGAGCTGGATGGATCTAATAATTGGATTCTTGAAGAATGGTGACTTGCCCGAAGATAGCAAGGAAGCTCACAAGCTGCACCTGAAAGCTGCTAGGTTTTGGCTGTCCCCAAAGAACGAATTATATCAACGCTCATTTGGAGGTCCATATCTGAAATGTGTGCACCCGACAATAGTTGCCAACTTTCTATCCGAAATATACGAAGGATGTTGCAGAGATCATACAGGGGGAAAGTCTCTAGCTCATCGAGCCATTTCTCAAGGTTTTTAGCGGCCATACATGCAGAAGGATGCTCAGCAGTTTGTTAGGCGATGTGAGAAGTGTCAGAAATTTTCACCAATCCCGAGGAAGCCATCCAACAAATTGTTTCTCTTGGCGAGTCCATGGTCATTTGCACAGTGGGGATTAAACATTGTGGGACCTTTACCTCGGGCCCCGGGCAACAAGAAGTACCTTCTAGTGGCCACGGATTATTTCACAAAATGGGTTAAAGCTGAGGTGTTGGCTAACATCAGAGATACTAACACAAGAAAGTTCATTTGGAGAAACATCATTACTAGGTTCGGCATCCCACACACTCTTGTTTCTGACAATGGCACACAGTTTGATAGTGGTCCCTGCAAAACTTTTTGTCAGCAATACGAACATCCAGAACCACTATTCCACCCCGGCTTACCCTCAAAGCAATGGACAAGCTGAGATCACTAATAAAAAAATCTTGGATGGAATCAAGAAAAGGCTCGAGAATGCTAAAGGGAGATGGGTAGAAGAGCTGTAGAATGTATAGTGGACGTATCGAACCACACCTCGGCGGTCGACTAGAGAGACTCCTTTCGCCTTAGCTTATGGAATGGAAGCTGTTATTCCTTTAGAGATTGCCTTACCGACCTTGAAGACTGAGCTGGTCGAAAGCAGCAACAACGATGCCATCATGGCACACGATCTTGATCTAGCTGAAGAAAATTGAGAATAGGCCGCCATAAGAATGGCTTCATACCGAAATCAGATTTTTCGAGCTTACAACAAAAATGTAAACCCCCGGTTTTTCACACCTGCAAACCTAGTTCTTAGGCGTGCACTACGGTCAACTAAAAATCCAGTCCATGGGAAGCTCGGAGCAAACTGGGAAAACTCATATAGAATAGTCAAGATTGGGGGCAGCGGGTATTTTGAACTCGAAACCTTGGATCATAAGGCAATATCGCGCCCCTGGAACACTGCGAACCTCAAAAAGTTCTATTTTTAAGAAGTACCTTTTTAGATAGAATTCTGAAGTACCTTCAGAAATTTAAGGGTGCCCCTTAAAGTGATAATATACTAGCAGCAAATGTATTAAGTCAAAAGTTATCAATAAAGATTCGATGATTATTTTTACTTCAATACTTTCTTTGCATTATATACGTCCTACTGCTAAGGTAGAGAGGCCAAAAAACCTGATAGAAGTCAAAAGTTTAAATCAGGTGCAGCCACCGATCAAATCTATGCCCTCAGCTAGGCATGACGATGTAAGCTGACTAGGGATGAGTTTGAGTCAAATCGGATTGCCGGGTCGGTGCGGAGTAGAAACACTCTTAGATCTCAATGAGACTTTTGAGTAACTCTAATGAGGAATCGAACTCTTTGAAAAAGGTCGAGCAAGGGTTAAAACTTCAAAGAGGCTCGAAACTACAAGTACAAAAAAAGGTTCCAGTTTAGGAAGCGAACTCTTTGAAAGAGGGTCGAGCAAGGCCGAGACTTCAAAGAGACTTTAAATTTTTTGTAAGTATAAAAAAGTTCCTGTTGAGGAACCGAACTCTTTGAAAAAGGGCCGAGTAAAGTGCCAAGATTTCAAAGAGATTTTTAAATTTTTTCTAAGTTTAAAAAGGTTCTCACCGAGGAACCGAGCTCTTGGAGGAAGGCCGAACAATTGCCACAACCTCAAGAGATTAAAGTTCTGACCAAGTGTAGAGGTTCTCACCTTGGAACCGAGCTCTTTTGAAGAATGGTCGGGCAAAGGCCATAACTTCATGAGCCTTAAAATTTTTGCTAAGATTATAAAAATTTTATCTAAACAATCATCAAAACAAATTGTAGAACTGAAAAGTTGTGATTTTTCATTCAAACTGTTGGAGAGTACAAAAAGTTCTGTGAATTCAGAAGAGTAATGGGTTACAAAATTTTTTCTAAGTGTTGATCAGGTAGAAAGAGGCTGGGAAGATCTCAGAAAAGTGTGCCTGGAGAAGAGTTCTGAAGAAGGGTTAATTTCGGCAGCGATCAAAGTAGCCTGACAATCCTTGCTGAAGAGTGCCTCTTTAAGCTTAGGCATTTGTAGAGCAAGATCGGCCTCGATTTTGTCAACCCCCTCATTATAAGCAGCATCCACCTTCTCTTCAGGCATCGCTTTGTATTGATCAAATTCTTTGAGAAGTGTGAAATAATCAAGCTGGGATTGAGAGAGCTCAACATTAGTTTCGTGCTGGGATTCCTTTAACTTTACATTTTCAGAAATAAGCTTTTGGTTCTCATTTGACAGGCTTTGATTTTTAGCCAGTAAAATCTTCACTTCTTCACACAATTTGGCATATTCTTCATCAACACTCTATTTCTTTGCAGGGGCTGAAGCTCAGGCATGGATCGTGTCCTTCATTGCTTTATCTTTATGTGCAGTCCGAGCTCCGACCTCATGAACTTTTTGAAGACCCTTGAGAGCACAGAGAATGAAAAGACTTAGAAAAATTTTGAAAGATGTAACAAAAAGCTTGAAGGAAGACTTACCAAAACCATGTGTTGAATTGCTTGACGAGACACTTTATCGTCGCTAAGCGCCTCGTTTATTGCCAGGTCCCGAGGCAGGATTACCCCATAGCAATTCTAACTGCTATGTTGAAGTCCTCGATAACAGAGTCCTTTGTAGTGATCTCTCTTTTTTTCGCCCTTAGTACAAGTTGGAAAGGAGGGGTTGCCAATCTGGGAGAGAGAGTCATTTCATCCTCAGCCAATTCCGTCTCTTCGGGGCTGGGCCTTCAGCGAGCTCGAAAATGGAATCTTCTTCAAGTGGACAGAAGGAAGGGGATTCAGGTCAACCAGAATTGAAGTTTCATTGTTCGAAGCCACATTCGCCTGGTCATTGCTTGGGATATCAGTATTGACTGGGGGAACATCCTCGGCAAGAACCTCGGCGGTAGACTCTTCTTCGATGATAATCGGGGGCACAAAAGTTGTTACCATTTGTTCAGAAGGAAGGGTTGGCTCAACTGTTGACAGAAAATCCAAAAAATTCTTTACCGTTTTATGACCAGAAGCAGCCAGTGCAGTTCTCTTTTTTCCCGAGCTGCCTGGATGGCCTCCCGATCTTCCGTAAGTGTTGTATTGGGTCGGTTCGGCACGACAATAAAAGAAGAGTAGGATGGACTGTATCTGAGCAGAGTATGTGCAGCTCGGCAGAACAACAACTCATTGAAGTCCCAAACCTTCTGAAGTTAATCCAACTTAACAGAAGACTTAAGAATTTTACCTTTGACAGTTTCGCCTGTGTAGAAGAAAACCCTCAGAAAAATATAAAACAAAAGCAAGTTAAAATAAGAGATACCCTCTTTATAGGGACAACGATATGAAGGAATAGCACCAGTGACATACTTCCAATTCTCAGAAACAAACACTATGTCATTCTCATGGCCTTTCTTGGAATTTGGGAGATGGGTGACTAAGTAACGATCCTTTTTCCTCATAGATAGATAGAAACTGTCCCCTGCTGCTTTAATAATGTAGCAGTATAGAGTCTTCCACAACCTAAGGCTCAAGTTCAGAATCTTGTTCAAGGAAGCTACCCCCATGACGATCCTGAAAAAGTTCAGACAGCACTGAAGGGGGCAGAGCTTAGTAGCAGAAAGCACCCATATCAGAAGAGGATCAAGAGGGAACCGCACGCCTCCCTCGGTGAAAGCTCGAATAGGGATGAGGATTGATTCCCTCGTGCCTATTAAGGGTTCGTCTTTTCTAGCGACCCTTACTTCTACGTCATTTGTAATATTATATTTGACTTTGAAGGCAGAAACCTCTGAAAGAGTGGGAGGGGCCATTGGAGCTAAAAAAATAAAGCAGACTTGGAGAAGACGAAGCATAGAGAAGCAAAACAGAGAGAGGACAGGAGTCTGAAAGCAGAAAATAGCGAAGTGAATAAAATTCAAAGAGAGGCGATTTATGAAGGAAAGGAATTTTAAAAGGCAATATTTAAATACCCTGAATGTACCGCCAAAGGAAATGGAGAAGTTACGAAGTATAAGTAATGATAACGAAAAGCTGAAAAAACGATTGACAGACAAAAAATGTCTATCAGACGTTTTTCTAGGGGCAAATGAAAGGGTTAGCCTTCATGATGGCACGTGTTACAACATTATATAAGCTCACGTAAGCTTGACATGACCAGTCATGTGACGAGGATATTCATCTAGTCTTGAGGATCGAGCCAGACTGATCAGTTCATTTGACAAACAAAGAAAGAGTTAGGTTCTCTTGATGATTGAACTCATCAGTCTGTCCAGCTAAGCAAGGAAATAGCTTGGCTTGTACCAAACCGAGTCCGTTAAAGTGTTCGACAAGATAATTAAAGAGATCCATTTGTACCAAACCAAGCCCCTTAATCTGTTCGACAAATGTGAAGTATGCTTGACGTTCGATTTGACCGAGCTATTTCAATTGATAAACAGAAAGATAAAGATTCGCCTATAATTTAGGCAATCAAATAAACGAATTAGAGAAATTAAAGATATCAGGAGAAAATAATGGAGAAATATCAACAACTTCCTAAACTGAATGACTGAATCTAAGGAAGGTGTGCCACTTTGAATCAAGAATCACAGAAACCCTAAAGGGATGATCACCTATATAAAGCAAAAGGAGCCAAGAAGAAAGGTACACTGAACTCTCTTGGTCTTAATGCAATTCTTTTTGTTCTATTATTGACTTAAGCATCAAAATGCCTTCGATCAAAGCACTTTGATCTTGGACAATTTATTCATTTTATAGGCAAGAGTTTAAGAGATCATTCAAACTTCTCTCCCAGAAATCATATCACAAATTCACGTGTAGAGGTATTACTAATTGTTTGCTTCTACACATACCATTGGAATAGAGGGTTACATCATATAGAAATATTAACGTGATATAACCTTTATACCAAGTGTGGAGCAGACTATATGCAAATACGCCAAATTCAGTAATTAATCAAGACTTACGATTCAAAATTTCATTAACAAACTTAGCAACTTCAATTTCTCGGACTACTTCAAAAATTAGACTTAAACTCATAAATAAATAAAAGAGAAAATTTTAGTCACACTCTTTCTATTTATCATATTTTTAAAGACACCCATTTAATGTTTGAATTTTCACTGACACAGTCTGTTAGATTAATGACATTAACTAGAATATAATTTTACTATATTGCTATATTTTAAGAAAAATTTCATTTATATCCCCTCTAAATAGGTATATTTTCAATGAGATCCCCTCTATTTTATGAATTTTTTACTTTTTAAAATTTCGGCCGATTAAAATTTATTTTTAATTTGCCCAAATTTTAATATGCAAGAAAATATAAACTTGAATCGAATTTTAATTGACATGAATTTTAGTAAATAAAAAAATATAAAGTTTAATCGATTCGAATTGAATTTTAATCGACGCTAACAGCTCAGGTTGAGTTTAAATCAACTCGAATTTTAATATGTAAAAAAAAAAGAATTTTAATAGGTTCGAATTTTAATACGTAAAAAAAAATTTAATCAACTTGAATAAAATTTTAACCGACTCAAATTTTAATATGTAAAAAAAATGAATTTTAAACAGTTCAAATTTTAATATATAAAAAAATAAATTTTAAAGGCTCAAATTTAATAAAATTTGTATGTAGAAAAATTGTTTGGGATTTATGTAGTGATTATTTTTGTATTTTAGATGAATATTTTTTTTTGTTAAAAATTGTGATTCAATGAGAGGAGTGCTAATGAAGTTTAAATATAAACTTAAAAAAATGTCGGCAATATTTTAAATAATAGAGGGAGTGTTATTAAAAATATAATAAATTGGAAAAAGTATAACTGATTTTTTTTTTTTGTTAAACAATAACTTAATTTTATCATAAATTTATAATATAATTAAAATATAATCAAATCAAATATTAGTATATCAAAATTTAGATCTATTAAATATGATTTAACAGATTTATTGACAGACCCACACGAATCAAAATCTAATTGTTTGGCTTGGGCAGTACGAGAAGAAACGCCCTACTTCTGTTTTCTCTCTCTACCAAAAAAAAAAAAAAAAAAAATTCTCTCTCTTCTCTCCTCTACCTCACAAGTCTCAAACTCCAGACCCCTGTAGGGTTTCACCTCCCACCGATCTCTGCAACTCAACCCTCTCTCTCTCTCTCTATATATATATATGCACTGATACACATATACATATATATACTTATTGTCGTTACATATCGATTTCAATCTTCAATAATGGCCGAAGAACCAGTACAAGAATCTTCGACTTCGAATGCAGCACCGTTGGGTCACTTGGTGATCCCAATGGCGAACAGGCTGCAGGACATCTTCGCACAGATCGGAAGCCAGTCGACGCTCGAGCTACCTCAGGTGGCCGTCGTCGGGAGCCAAAGCAGCGGCAAATCGAGCGTTTTGGAGGCTTTGGTTGGCCGTGACTTTTTGCCGAGGGGTTCGGATATTTGTACTAGGAGGCCCTTAGTTTTGCAGCTCCTCCAGACGAAGAGAAAGGCAGATGGGGCTGAGGAGGAGTATGGAGAGTTCTTGCATCTTCCGGGAAAGAGGTTTTCTGATTTCAGTGATATTCGGAGGGAAATTCAGGTATTTTTTGATTTGTACGTTGTTTTTATAATTATTGTATTGGTTTCTTATGAAATTGAGATAAAGTCTTGTTCGTAGTCTAGAATTTTTAGGTTTATTTTTTAATTGAAAGATAGAAAGCAGTGGTGTTTACCTGAGGGAGGGTAACAGTATTGTTTGGCGTAGTAGAGTTGTGCTTTTAGTTTTTTGGAGACAGGAATGACATTGTGTTTAGCATATAAATTGGCAACTAAGTGGTGAGATGGTGTTTTTCGTCACTTCCATGGAATCCACAGAAATTTCATACATTAAACTCGTCCTATTTTGGGTGTCCATTGAAAAAGGATCATTGGAAAGCTATTGGCTCCACGTGCTGCTTGTTTTTAGAAATTGTGTGGTCAGAAAGTTAAAAAAGGGTGCCCATTATACGGCAATCCCACTCCATTGTAATTTGCTGAGATATATGAAGAGGTATTATAATACCGTGACTTGAACTAGAGCAACCTTACCCCTGCCAAGGCTCATCCTCTGAGGTCATAAAGTTGTGTTCATGAAAAAATTGAATTTTGGTGAACAAGGATAGTAGGTCCAGCTTACTCTTGGAAATGGTGTCTACAGTTGCACAAGCACAAGCACAAGCACAAGATCACGATCTAACAGTTACTAATCGAAGCACAAGCACAAGCACAAGCACAAGCACCATTAGATCACGATCTAACAGTTACTAATCGAAGCACCATTAGATCACGATCTAACAGTTACTAATCGAAGTAGACCAAAATTTAATGCAATGACTTACCAAGTTTGGCTCTTAACTAAAAAGGAAATGTAATGGCATATTAATTGTAATCATATTTCTATTGGGAAAGCATATTTTAGTTTTGAAATCATATCTTTAAAAATCAACATAAAAAAAAATTAAGATCATCACCTCCAAGTCGAGCTACTCCAAATGTATATCATTCTCCCGGAGAGAAGACCACCACCATCATTTTCTATGTTGATTCTCTAAATGAAAAATCTTCTACATACAAAATGCATATGGATAAAACTCTATTACATACATAGATGCGATCATTGCATATGAGCTAAATTAGCCCCACAAAATCACATCCCTTCTGATAAACTTCTATCAAAGGAACTTAAGGGCCATCTTCATTTACCTAATTCCATGTTCACATTATATTGACAAGTTCTATTTTAAGTTTTGCATAACCATGAATTCGTTTTCGCTGTAAAGGCCTTGACCAAAATGTGTGTTCAAAGGCCTCTTGCTGGACTTCGGATTTTTGGCATGACGAGGATGAAGACTTATCAGGAAGATGAGCCTTCATTTCAAAATGTTTAATTTTGGAAAAAATTCATTAGGAGTTAATTTTTTATTATTTTTTAAAGATACAATTTCAAAACTAAAATATGCTTTCCTAATATAAATATGATTACAATTAATATGCTATTAAATTTCCTTTTTAGTTAAGAGCCAAACTTGGTAAGTCATTGCATTAAATTTTAGTCTTGTTTGATTAGTAACCATTAGATTGTGATCTAACGGTTCACATAAAAAGTTCCCACTGGACTTTATGGTGCAGAACTTCCATAATCGTGCTACTATATATATATATGGACTTCATATTATTGGTACACATATTGAATAAAGGGCGTGGTGCAGTCCCAACTCATCATTATTATTTTGTTAGGACAGTCAAAGAATAAACTCCATTCAACACTTAGGGAAGCATATACATATTTTCTGCAATTTATCTCAATCTCATTTCTTCAATTCATATATATATTTGCAGTTTCGATTTAGTTTGTGCTTTTCTTGATTTTTATTTAGAGACGATGTTCCCTGTGATGATAGTTTTGACCATGCTAATTGTGATCCTTCCATGATCGAAACATTCTATGTGCTTTTCTGAGGGAACACTCTCTTTCTAGTGATATAACCATGATATAGGTTCGGTGATGGCTCTCTGTTGTATTCTTTACATGTACTTGGGTTGTTGTTTCCATGATAAATGTCTCAATATATAAACTTATAAGAAAAGACACTTTAGTATGTATTAGACTATTCACTGAAAGAATGCATGTTATTGTGTGTTTCCTAATTGTGTCATGCTCTAAATATGTATCACTATAAATATGATATATCCATTCATTTAGGTATGAATAATTTTCTTGCCAAATGAAAATAAATTAAATCATTCAGCACTTAAATCTTACAGTTAGCAACCACAGAGAAACCATATTCATCTCGTTGCTTAACTTAGATTTTTAATGACTGATTCTGTAATTTCACATGAAAGAATATCTCTTTGACCTATTTTGTTATGATACTGACATACTGTACACCTTTTGTGTCCATTGGAAGCTTGTGCGATTCTGCTGGTAATAAGCAGTTGCCACTTGCTATTTAGACTCTGGTGGTAATATTATTGCTGGATTCCACACAGTACAATCACGAATTGGGTATGTATTCAATGATCGATGGGAATACCGGAGACTAATGAAATGTTTGCAATTCGCTGTTTGTCAACTAATTTGCTATAGACCTTTCCTTCTGGTTCCTGTTGCTACTTCCCATCATCTCTTCATTTCCCCTAGCTTGATGAGAACCATCCTTAATAGCTGGCAGCGATTGGTAATCATGAATTTTTTTCCTGGGAAGAAACTGAAGGGAGTGAATTTCATTTCTGCACAGGGGGCTTTTAATGATGCTATCAGTCTCATGCCAATGGACACCTCCATTTGGGTAACATTAAAGTTGTTCGTAACCATGAAAAATTATACTCCTTGTGCCTGTTTCCAATTTAATCATCCTTTGGCAGTGCCAGTGATTACAGAAGAGACTCTTTATGGTCATGAAATATTAGTTCTGTCCTCCTTCCTCTACGTGACCCCTGGCTACAGCTTTATGATAGGTTTGGCAGTCTATTATCTTATTTGATTATTGAAGGTAGCAAATTTGTTTATACAATGTTGGTATTACCCAAGTGAAAGAAGTAGAAGAAGATGTATTTTAGAGTCTGTTAGTAGTTTTCTTATTCCTTCTATTGCTTTTAGCATTAACTACAAATTTCTTATTCCTTCTACTGCTTTTTTTGTCCAAATTTTCTGCATCTGAATTTAGGCTGAGACAAATAGGGAAGCTGGAGGAAACAAAGGTGTTTCAGACAAACAGATTCGTCTAAAGATTTTTTCACCGAACGTCCTTGATATTACCCTGGTGGATTTGCCGGGTATAACAAAGGTTCCTGTTGGTGATCAGCCTTCTGATATTGAAGCACGGATTAGAACGATGATAATGTCATATATTAAACTACCAAGCTGTTTAATATTAGCTGTTACGCCAGCAAATTCTGACTTAGCAAACTCAGATGCTCTTCAAATTGCTGGAAATGCTGATCCAGATGGTAGGCTTTGCTTCCAATATCAGTTGAACAAGATGAATACTAGCCATAGTAGGGTGTGCTTGCTCCCTCAATTTTATAGCTTATATGTGATATTTTCTGCTGGCAGGTTATCGAACAATTGGTGTAATCACAAAGGTATGATATGTATATGAGTCATGATTACATATTTCTCATCCATATAGTTATCTTTGTATTGTTTTGTAGCTGTTAGTTGTCGACGTGGCTTAACTTATTTCCTTTGTTGCATCAGTTGGATATTATGGATAGGGGTACTGATGCCCGCAATTTTCTGCTTGGAAAAGTTATTCCCCTTCGACTCGGTTATGTAGGTGTTGTGAATCGTAGCCAAGAGGTAATATTTCAGCTCATAGCATTAGGGAGAACTTCCTATTATGTTACAGTAGATTATTTTGCTAAGAGGCTGAAGTATTTTTTCCTCCCCGATTTTAAATACAAATCTTTTTATTATACATGGTTGTATGTATTTTTGTCTTACACTGTACTTTCTGTCTTTATTTTACACTTGAATCTTACTTCTTAAAAGAACTACATTACTATTGAAACGTAATTGTTTATGCGAGTGATATGCTGATATCCTACTTTCTTTGTCCTTCTTACTTTTTTCTCCTAAAAAATCGAAGTAATATATAAATAGCGTTGTGTCCACTTTCCTTGTTCGCTTTCTCTGTCAAGTGTATCTATTGTCTTCCAAGCAGCTATTTAAATGGATAAACAGTGCAAGTTCTCTGTTCTCCTTGGTCTTTCTTATATTTGAATTGTTAAATTTGTTGTATAGTCTTCTAGAAAATAAATTGGTTCAGATCACACAGCTGATTAGTATGTTGCATTTTCCAAGTCTTTTCGGGAAACCCAAAAAGTAAAAAAATAAGAAGAGTGCAGACAGGAAGTTTTGCATAAGCTTAGAGTAACAAAAGGAAAGTGGAAACATTATGTAGGCAACCTAATATAAAACTCTGCACTGTTGCACGCCCAGAACCGCAAGTGGTAGTATAATTGTGATCTGAACAATTTGTAGATATTCAGATTATTTTATGAACTGAATTCCGAAAGTTATATCTATGATTAATAGCTCTCTTAAGTTTTTCTATGTTCGTAGGCTTCTGACCTGGTTGGTTGGTATCATTCTTAAACAGGATATTGCGAATAACCGGACCATTAGGGATGCACTTGTTGCTGAGGAGAATTTCTTTCGCAGTCGTCCAGTAAGACCACACTGTCTTCAACTTGTGGTTTACGCATGTAACTAGTGTTGTTTATATAGCTGATCATATATCTTCTGCTGTTAATGTAGGTGTACAATGATCTTGCTGATCGTTGTGGTGTACCCCAGTTGGCAAAGAAGTTGAACCAAGTACGAAAGCGTGAGACTGATTGTGATGTTTGTTCATGCAAAATTTCCTATTGTTTAAAAGTAGATGCTTGTGCACTTGCAGTTACTTTGTTCAGTGTGGGATATGGGAATTATCTCCTTATCTTCCAACACACTGTACACAAACACGAACACGTTCACACACAAGAAAAAAAAAGGGAAAAAAGCTCGCTTCCTCTGTCGTTTTATGTACATACAAATGTGTTTTGTTCTTTTGCTGTCCTTTTAGATCAGTCTGGAATTTTCACACTTATCTGAAATCTTGTGTCGGGTGCTTCTATAAGTGCATTGATGGTTTTGTAAACTAACTCCTTGTTATGTTTTGTGCAGATTCTGGTGCAGCATATCATGTCAGTGCTTCCAGGGTTGAGGTCTCGTCTTAGTGCTGCACTGGTTTCTGTTGCAAAAGAGCATGCTAGCTTTGGAGAAATCACAGAATCAAAGGCATGAACCATTTTACTAGTCAAAATTCTCTGTGTACTATGCTTAACAACATTACTGAAATGCTGGATCGATAGTTTCCGGTCATGTGGTTATGTGTTGTGCCCTATGCATCTAAGATTATGTGAAGAAAAAGGTCCAGAACAGTGTGTAGCATCTATATGCTTACATGGGCATTTAGTTCTTTTTCTGAGTGTTGCGGCCATTTGTCTGACTTATGCATCCAGGAAAATGAAAAAAGGTCCAGAATAATATGTTGTTCTAGTTCATATTCCTGTGGTGATCCAGAGCCCAACATCATTAACTGGATACTAGGCAGTTCTAAAGTCAAGCCAGCTTATATAATGATCTAGGTCATTTGAGTTTAAATTCATTTCTGCTGGTAATTATTGTCGATTTTTCAGGATTTCTTGTTCTTAATATTTTTTTTTGCAATGTTACTTATATCTTTTTGTTTACAATAGGCTGGTCAGGGAGCTCTTCTACTGAACATACTTTCGAAATATTCTGAAGGTAATGTGCTTAGCTTACTTTGTGTCCTTAGCGCACTCTAGGAGTTGCAGAGATTGATTGACCTTTTCAGATGGCCCCTTTTTCCCTTGTTGGAAACAGCTTTCTCTTCAATGATAGAGGGGAAAAATGAAGAGATGTCAACATCTGAGTTGTCCGGTGGAGCAAGAATCCATTATATCTTCCAGAGTATATTTGTGAAGAGTTTGGAGGTATATTGTTGAGATCAATTTTTCTTTGAACACGTCTTCTGAAATTCCGGATTGAAGCTTTTTTTTCCTGTTATTCCTTATTGTAGTCAAAATGTGAGTGCTTTGGACTTTAGGCATTCTATATTTTGTACATCATTTTCCCCAGTACTTATACAGTGGAGGTCTTCCCTTTTTTATTGTCTCATTACTTTCATGTGGTTTCTAAACTAAGGGGAAGAAGACAAGCAATATACGTTCTCACCTTGACTGTTGCAAACTAAAAAAGGTTTTAAGATTGAAAAGGCTGCCTCTTTTATTCTCTTCGGTGCAATCAATGCAGTAAATTGGTGAAAGGAAAATGATTTTCTTATTGATGTTGTTTGTCCTATAGTAGAAGTTATCTTCATTACATCTCAAGTTTGCGATTTGCTTCCAAATTTTTTTGCTGCTGTTTGGTTCTGTTTGAGTGGTGCAAATGAGCTATCTGCAAATGAGCTCTCTGCCTTCCCATGGGCTTATGATTGCTATAATATTGTATGGCTAAATGGAGATGGTGCTGAGCTTGAAGATGCTAAATTCCTCAACTCTGATGAGATTTGATCTCTTGCAGGATGTGGACCCATGTGAGGGTTTAACTGATGATGACATCCGAACAGCCATTCAGAATGCAACTGGTCCTAAATCTGCGCTATTTGTTCCAGAAGTAGGTCTTACTGAGCTAGATTTCTCCTTGCTTTTGGGACATACTGTCCTATTTGAAAAAATTCCTGTGTTTTCCACAATGTTCCTATGTATTCTTGTATTTTTTTTATTTTCCATTTCTGCTTTAAACTTGTTTTATTTTATTTAATCTTGAAATATGTAGGTGCCATTTGAAGTTCTAGTTCGAAGACAAATAGCTCGATTATTAGATCCAAGTCTGCAGTGTGCCAGATTTATTTATGAGGAGTTAATAAAGGTTGGGAAATTCCTAGCAGCTATTTTTTTTTTTGTGTGGCCAATGTGCTATAATATCTATTTATGACGAGTTAATAAAAAAGCCTTCAGTGTGGTAGATTTATGATGAGTTAATAAAGTTGGGGAGCATTATTCGCTGCATTTAGGGATTAACTGAATTCTCTCTCTTTTATATTCAGATGAGCCATCACTGTATGGTCAATGAAATGCAGCGGTTTCCTGTTCTAAGAAGACGCATGGATGAGGTTATAGGGAACTTTTTGCGGGAGGGCCTTCAACCATCAGAGACGATGATTGGGCATATTATTGAAATGGAGGTATGCTGAAACTAGATTTTCTTCCTGCTGTATTGTCACAAAGCCTTGATAAATAAGTCGGTGTGCTGCTTCACGCACCCTTGAGTGATAATATTGGATTTTATCTTACTGCAATATGGATGAACATGATGATGATGCAACCATGGTTCAAGGTTGCGGTATTAGTTATTGACTAGGAGGGTACAGAGATACATCGGCCGATATGCTCAAAACGTTAGATAGAAAGTCCCAAAATTTTTTGAAAAAATCATGAATTTTTTTAAAAAAATATAAGTATCATCATCCATATATTATATCCTAGAAATACATTATATAACACATTAAAGATAGTGAAAAGGAATTGTGAGGGCACTACCGGTAATGTTATTATTACTATTTTGAGCATACTAGTAATTTTGAAATTTTTTATAATAAAAATAGCAACAATAAAGATATATCAATAAACTATAAATTTGATAAATACATTAGATCCGAACACTAATAAATATAAATATTATATGAATATAAATATAATTCAATTTAATCTTAGTTTTATAAATTTATGAGAAAATCAATATTTTGGCCACTTAATATATCAGTATGTATGTGTAATTGTTATATCTTCAATTACATATAAAAAAAAAACCTTAATAAAGGTAATATTTTAATGAATTTAAGTCTACTGAAATTGTAAAGTAAATAACAACAAAAAACATAAATTAAAAGGAAAAAAAAATCAAATTCGCTACATGAAATATAGTAAAAGTGGCCAGTCTCTTTTTGGGTTGTAGTCAGAGGTGGGGTGGGTGGGTTGGGGGGGGGGGGAAGGGAAAGGATAGGGAGAGCTAGAGTCGAGGGAACGAAACACGAAGAAAGGGCAAAATTTGAGAGACAGAGGAAGGCGGAGATGATGATTCCAACGACGATCGACGATGTTTTAATCTACTTCTAGGGTTTGTAAAAACTTTGATCTACGATCGACGATGCTCGAGTCTCTACAAAGAAGAAAAAGAAGAGGGAGATCTCTGATTTACAGGTTTATGGGTTTGTGTTACAAATTTTTTCTATTCTTTATTCTACTTGTATAATGACAAAAATGGCTTATTTTTCAATTGATTTTTGTTTGGGTTTTGCTTGTAAGTTGGGTTTGTTGTACTTCATCTATTTTGTATTTTTTTTGTGCTTTTTCTTCTGAGGGGTGAATGATTCTATGCGAATCGGTCTGACTCAGAGTCAAATCGACCAATTTAAAGGAGATGAAGTCGAGTTTTGCTGCGTTGTATCAATTCAAAACCGATACATGTTGAACTCGTGTTTTTCTCATACTGGGTATTGGTATCGTGTCGGTGTTAGTCGAGTCGAATAACATAGAAGAGACAAACTATCTATGTCCTTTTTGTCTTCAAGTCCCCCACCCACAAAAGAAACTTTACTTGCATCTTTTGTATTGCAAGTATTCCTAGTCTTTTATAAATGTTTTGTTTTGTTTTTACCGAGTGTTATTTAAGGCATAAAGCAGACCAAAGTGCTCTGATCTCCTCTGGCCTAGGCAAGAAGCGAACCGAAAGTTTCGTCAAAGTGAGGTGAACAATATAGAAATCAAACAAATATTTTAGTGTTGTTACTACTAAGTATCAAGTTCCAACTTCCCAAGTATTAAATATTCAAATGCAATCTAAAGCATAAATATTTTAAATTGAAACAAGCATCAATAATATGTCAAATCTTAATGTCAACCAAAACTTTAACATTTAAATTTTAAAAAAATGTCAAAAATATACCAAATCATAACATTTGAAGCAAAAAAACTAAATTTTGGAGTAAAAGTAGATCTCTACTAACAGTGAATCATGGAGCGAGCAAAAGCAGAGCTCTAGCTCCATCTTAGAAGAGGAGGAGGAGGAGGAGGAGGAGGAAGAGAAGAGGTAGAAGAGGACAAGAAGTACACACACCTGGTCTGTTTAGAGATTCATTTTTTGGAGGAAAAGAAAAAGACAAAGTTGGTCTATTGAATCCTAGCCTCTAGGTCGTAGATCGTTTTTCTAGTAGCAGTAAAATCATTTGTGAGGAGAAGAAGAAGAAGAAGAAGAAGAAAAAGAACTGGAGGATGAGGAGGAGAACAAGAAAAGTCTAGGATTGCAACCCTCATGACCCTTAATTCGCAATCAATTTTTTTGTAGAAATTTTAAGGTTAGATGTATATATGGATCAAATGACAATTAGCTGTTATGGCGATATCAATTTTGATCCAATTTGCTTTTCACTTGAACACTTAATCTTTGTGTTGGCAAAGCTCGTTTCACCTAGGACACTCCAGGCTCGTGTGAGCTCGCTTCTCGCCTAGATGCGCGTTTAATAACACTGGGTTCACCCATAGGATTCCCTATTGTCACATATTTTTCTCTCTTTTTTTGCC